ATGGTAAATACCCATACCCTCACCACCTGGAATCTCCAATGAACATTTGCAATATTTGCTTTATGACATTTTCGTGGCTCCATCCCTTCCTTCTGTCCATTTGGCCATCAATGCACCTGAATCCATCCTTCCATCTATTCATCTGTCTATCCCTCCATCCATCCGTCTATTTTCTTTTTTTTAAGATTTTTAAAATTTATTTATTTGACAGAGAGAGACACAGCGAGAGAGGGAACACAAGCAGGGGGAGTGGGAGAGGGAGAAGCAGACTTCCCGCTGAGCAGGGAGCCCAATGCGGGGCTCGATCCCAGGACCCGGGGATCATGACCCGAGCCGAAGGCAGACACTTAACAACTGAGCCACCCAGGCGCCCTGTCATCCGCCTATTTTTTGATGCATTTTGGAGGCTCATGAATGTGAGACCTGGGCCAAATGACATTCTTCTCTCCTTCTTCCTGACAGTAACAGGCCCTGCTGCGCACGTATCCGCACACCACACACACCTCCATGTAAATCCCCCATGTGCACGCACCATGTGTGATTCATCCATGTCCCCCTTTCACACTTGTCTACTCCATACACATGTATCCACGTGTGCAAACCCCACACGTGTGCAATCACCCATGCACACACACACACACACACACACAGCGCCCACATGGGCATTTGTGGCAGACCCTTGATTTCTGTGAGGGAAGCATCCAGAGACCGTTTAGAATCCTCGGACCTGGGCGCCTGGGTGGCTCAGTTGGTTAAGCGACTGCCTTCGGCTCAGGTCATGATCCTGGAGTCCCTGGATCGAGTCCCGCATCGGGCTCCCTGCTCGGCGGGGGGTCTGCTTCTCCCTCTGATCCTCTTCCCTCTCGTGCTCTCTGTCTCTCATTCTCTCTCTCAAAAAAAAAAATCTTTAAAAAAAAAGAATCCTCGGACCTGTAACCCTTATGAGTCCCTGCCAGGTCCCAGCCAACTCCCCGCCCCTCATTTCTGGCAAGTGTCAGGGCCTTCCCTGCAGCTCCCACCCTGCCATGCCCCACCTTTCCCGCTTTGCTCCATCTTCTCTCTCACCTCCTAGCCACGTCCCACAGAGAGCACCTCGCACAAAGATTCCTTCCAAGTGTTACTGCCTATGTGTGCACAGCCCACCACTGTCAAGCCGGGAGGGCAGGGACTGTGTTGGTCTCGTTCACGGCACAGCCCCAGCACCTGGCACTCGGCAGGCCCCCTCCAGGTGTGGGATGAAAAAGGAACAAACTTAGCACAGCAGTGCACATGCTGAGCAGCCTCGGGGGCACCCGGTCACACCCACACCCGTGCACACACAACACCCAGTGTGTTCATCTGTGCTCACACATGCATCATGCATGCATCTGCACATGTGTGAACATGCACCGTGTGCACACACACACCTGTCTGTCTGTTTCCCTGTTTCCACGCTTTCCAGATGGAGTCAATTCTGGTCCCTGGGGCCTTTCCCCAAGCCTTGGTCATCTAAGATCACTATGAGCTCATGTGCTGGGTGTGAGGGCCAGATGTGGCCCCCCGACCATGTGCTCAGGGCTCCTGGCTTGGTCCCGTGCATCTGTGTGGCAGGGGTTAGGAGTACCAGCTCTGGAGTCCGACAAAATCTATGTTCCATCCTTGCTCTGCAGGTAATCGCTGTGTACATTCTACATCTGGTTTATGTGTGCATTACTTAACTTCTTGGAGCATCAGTTTCCCTATCTGCTAAATGGGGAGAATAGTTTCCACCTTAAAAGCATCTTACAGGAGATGCTCTTAGCAGGGTGCCTGGTGTGTTGTAGGCACTTAAAGATGGTTGCCGGGGGTACTATTATTATTGTCACTTCAGTCTTTGCCCCGAACTCCCGTGCACCCTTTGGGAGGGAGGGCAGCCTTGGTGGGGGGCTGTGTATGGGGAGAGCGGGTGGGTGGCGCCTAGTGAACTCCTCTCCCCACGTCCTCCCCCAACCCCAAGCCCTCATTATCCCACATGCATATTCATAAGAGATAGCCTCAGCCCCACTCTGTAAATGGGTCAGAAGCAGGAAGTGGAGGCCAATGTGGAGAGCGAGGCCCCGTGGATAGGAGGCTCCAAGCCAGAGTGCGTCTGAGTCCTCATGGACGGGAGGATGGTGAGTGGAGATGGGGCAAGACTGGACTGGGGAACACTGGGGGCACTGGGGGCTTGAGCAGGGGATTATTGCTATTTTGAGATTTGAAAACTGAGGCCCAGTGAGATCAGATTGGAGAACCCTTGGGGTGAGTGGCCAAGAAGCCAGAGGCTGTTTCCTTTGGGATCTGGAGAGCTGAGCACCTGTCTGGGCTGGGTGGTGGGCACAGAGGGATGGACTATATGACTCTTGCATATTTCTCTCAATGGGTATAGTTTACAAGGTATGATATAGTTGTAAGAACTGCGATGATCCTGAATCTCAACCTCCAGTGAGGCTCAGAGAGGCTGGGTGACTTGCCGAGGTCACGAAGCTGCTGCCTATGATCTTGCCTCTGGAGGTGTGAGAGATGGAGTGACTCTGGTCCACGAAGGGGGTTCAAGACTGGGAGACAGGTGGGCAGGCTGGGCAAGATACAAGAAATGAAGCCTCCTTATCTAGGTCCTCATTTCTTCTCTCAATAACCCCCTGAGATAGCTCAAGCAAAAACAATGGTCTTCATTTTGCAGATGAGAAGCATGAGGCTGAGAGAAGAGGAGTCACCAGGACAAGGCAGCCCAGTGAGTTATCCATAGCACGGTTGGCCCCTCCGTGTAGGGTGCCATGGGGGCCGCGAGGGCCGCTCACTTAGGTCTCGGGGATCTGGGGCGGGGTGGGGCCAGGACAACGGCAGGGCATCACCCTGCACTGGAAAATTGCAATCTAAAACCAGACAGGGCTGGGTACTTGCAATCCTGTTAATCCCTTCCTCCTTTCAGACAACTGCCTATTTCTTCGAATGCTTTCTCGATGTTCACAACTGCTCTGGGAGGTTAAGCAGGATAAGCACCCCATTTCAGGGGAGGGGAGGGAGGTGAAGTGACCCCCGGGATAGCCAAGGGCGATAGAAGCTCTGACAGAAGAAGAGTCTCAGCTGTGGCTTGTCTCGGTCTCAGGCGCTTTCTCCTGGATCAGGCCGTGGGTGAGGGAGAGGCTCGGGAAGGGAGAGTCAGGCCCTTGGGGCATAACTGTCAAAAGATGCTGACCCGGGGTGGGCAGCTGTGGGGAGGGTCTCCTCAGACTGCTTGGTGGCATTCCAGACACCGAGGATTGCTGGGGAGAAGAGGACTATGAACGGGCTGTTTTGGGATCAGACCATCGGTCACAACCACGTGAGGAAACTGGGCTTGTGGTGGAAGTTAGACACGTGTTCATTCAGCAAGCACTGACCGCCTACTGTTTGCCGGGCCTGGTGCTGGGCCCGGTCAGGGGAGGGGCGGCCAGACACAACACTGGCAGTCCCTGCGTGGCTCACAGTCTCCTGAAGGTCTCGGACTAGGGAAGGACGCACCTATTCTTGCAGAGAGAGAGGATATCGTCCCCTCTGCTTTCCAAGAGAGGCAGTGAGATGTCAAGGACAGGCCTTGGATTCCAAGGTCAAGGCCAGGCCAGGTGGTCTTCTAGCTCTGCCCTTCTGACCTGTGTGGTCTTGAGCAACAATAACAACAACCACAATCATCACAGCCAATGTTGATTTCAGGGCTCGGTTTACGGGTGGCACATCACTTTACTTAGAGCCTCAGTTTCCTGATCTGGAAACTGGGTGGAGTGGGGAATGAATCTACTTCTTAGGGTGATAGGTCTGGGGGTAGTGGTGGTTCTCTTCACTGAGAAGATATGGGATATGAGTGAGGCTTCCAAGGGCAGAAAGGGGGGTAAGGAGAAAAAAAGGACTTTCCAGAGGGAGGGCATCATGTGGACAAAAGCGGGGAGGAGGGAAGCTCTAGGGTGTGTTTGTGGAGCAGTCCTGGGCACGATTAATAGCCTGGCACTCCATGAATCACCCAAGGAGGCAGTCAGGCCGGATCTCTGGCCCCAGGGCCAGCTGTGAGGCACTTAGACTTCCTGCCCTAACATTATCTGTCTAGGGTTGAGCAAGGAGAGGGCTGGAGGGTAAACAGAGTAATTACAGAGCCCTGCTTCTGGGTCTCCTCCACCTACCCTTGCGGGGCGGTTGGCTGGGAATGTGACCCACCCACCTCTTCTGACCTCCTTAGCTGGGGGCCAGAGTTTGGGCATCTCTGGGGAGCAATAAGCCAGCCAGCAGGAATGGCTCAGGAGAGCATGTGGTCCAAGACAGAAGTAGAGCTTGAAGAAGGGGTGGATGGAGGGAAGGAGGGCTGAAAGAGTGTGAGGCTGGGGTCTTAGGAGAAACAGGGATGACGAGGAGCTCACATTTTTCAGGTATCTACTATGTGTTGTAACAGCCCCATGAGGTGGGTATCTTCACTTTACAGATGGGGAAACTGAGGCTCAGAGAGGTGAAGTGACTTGCCCAAGTTTCTTTATCCGATCATGCACCATTCAACACCTATGTATTGGGTGCAGGCTCTACACCGAGGAGTTTGGGGTGACCCTCACTTGGCTTCTGCCCCTTGTGGGGGGACAGTGTTGTAAGGTCACACTGTGGCCTCCCTGGGACTCGAACCCAGGTGTCGGTATTTCCAAACCCTCGCTTTGGAACAGGACTTGAACCCGGGGCAGAGTCAGGTCGCGCTGCACGTCTCACATGGCCGCGGGAGTCCCGGGCCCCACCACTTTCCCTACCCGTCTTGCCCGTCTTGCCCGGCGCACCTGCCCAGGTGAGTCGCCGGAGGCCCCGAGCGTCGGCGGAAAGCGGCGAGAGGCTTCGGCAGGTGGGGCGGG